GTTTTTTTTTGTCGAGACACCCCCTTGATTTTCCCAAACTATTTAATTGGAATACAATAGAATAAATAAAAAATAAAATAAACTTTCATTATTTTTAAAAAAAAGAAAGTAAAAAAAACATTTTAAAACCAGACCTATCTTTTCTTTTTTGATTTTTTTTAATTTTTTAATTTTTTTTAAAATTTTTTTTTTTACCAGAATAAAAATTTTGCGGGTTTTAAGAATTAAAAACCATCCATACATCATGGTGGACTTGATGCCGTGGTAGAGCAGATGAAGCTGCTGATGGCAGCCATTCATTCCGGGCGTACCTCGGATATCTCGGGTTGCTAGCATATTAATGACTGCATGGTAGAATTTCTACCACAATCTTTCAAATATTTTGTGAAAAATTTCGAAAAAAAAACAGAGAATCTGGTATCGAAAATTTTGGTATTTTATTTTTTTTGATACTTTTTTCGTTTCTATAAATAATAAATATTTTTTTTTTTTATTTTGTTTTTAATACTCAATTTTCTAAAATTTAAAAATGAAATTATTAGTTATTTTAATTATTTTATTTGTTGCTACAGGTTTTTCATCATCCTTATCGTCATCCTCTTCCTCTTCCTCCTCATCCAAATATATTTATTCTGAAACTTATCAATCCACAGATACAACATGCACAAATTCAGTAGTATCCAGTGAATTCGCTTTAGATGGATCATGCCAATATGGTGCTTTATCAAGATGTATAAATGGCAACCAAGCAGTTGAAATTTCTTACTACTCTGAAATGGACTGTACCGGACAATCAATCGATAAAGTTTCTATTCCAGTTAACAGCTGTACTGATGGCTTCCCAGGTAAATTATATTGTGTTGATGAAGTTAATATTCCAACATCAAATGCCCTCTTAACTATATTATCCGAAACTTGTGATTGGAAGGAAACACTTGAGTCTATTCAAATTAGAACTATGAACACTTGTTTTGAACTTAATAACCAAATGTATTATTTTACTTGTAATGCCACAAACTTTGTCCAAGAAGTCTATCCATCTGGCTCTTCATGTTCCGGTTCCCCAGTTTCCCAAACATCCCTTTTCATCCAACAATGTAATGATGTTATGACTGGTAATAATATAACAAATATTTGCATTTAATAATAAATTGTAAAAAAATAAAATAAAATAAAAAAATTATTTAAAAATAAAAATTAAAATAAAAATAAAAAAAATGATATTTTTTTAATTATAATCGTTTTTTTTTAATTTTTTTTAAAATTTTCTTAAAAAAATAAAATGATTAAAAAAACTGTTTTTTAATTTTTTTTTTATTAAAAACAAATCATATTGCAGAAACGATGAATTTATTTCAATTAAAAAGAGAACATTTAAAAGATATTGTTAGAACAACAACAGATTCATTTTTAACAGATCCTTATTTCAATTTTATGTTTTACGAATTAAATGAAGCAGAAAAACATGAATTTATTGCAAATATGGAAGAGGCATTTGTAGATCAAGTGGTCGATTTTAATGAATGCTATGCATTAGACGAGTCATTGTCATCAGTAGCATTAATATTACCACCCATTGTTGGATACCCAGAGGAGAAATGGGACAAATTCACAGATAGACAAAGCGAATTACTAAAAGAAAAAGGCTATGATATAACATTTGAAAGAATATTAAAATTAGAAGGTATGTATTATTAAATTAATAAATAAATTAAAAAAAGTAATTAAAACTAAATAACTTTTTTTAATATAGATTTTATTTCTATAAAGTTTGAAGAGTATGATGCAATCAATTCATATTATTTAATTACATTATCCACTGATAAGAACTACAGAAACCAAGGTTTAGCATCAAAATTACTAAAAGAGTTATTTAAAAAGTTTGATAGAGAGGAAAGGAAGTGTTACATCGAATGTACAAACGATATAAATATTCAGTTTTATAAGAAGCACGATTTTATTATTTTAGGTAGTTTCAAATTACCAAGTGTTGGTGATGTACCATCAGATGAAATACCAACAATTACATTTATGGAAAGAATACCCAAACCAATTAATTAACTAATAATAATAGTAATAATAAAACTTTAAAATAAATTATTTATTCTTTTTTTTATTTTTTTATTAATGATATATTTACAAAAACTAGTTAATTTAATTTAGTTTTATTTTTTTATTTTTTTATCTTTTATATATAATTGTATTTTCTATATTATTTTTACACATAATTTATTGGGTTTCAAATTCTTCTTCTTCAAATTCTTCTTCTTCTTCTTCAAATTCTTCATCATCTTGGCCAAGTTCTACTTGATTGTCATCGCTTTTATTTTCATATTCTTCGTCGTCATATTCATCATCGTCTTGGTTATTGCTTAAAACACCATTGCTATTGTTTAATATTTCATCAATTTGTTGATTGTTTTTTTCGATAATTTCTTTTTTTAATGTATTTTTGTGATCTGTAAGATCTTGTATCTTTTTTTCGGTATATTTATTTAATAGTTCTATTTGGCGGTTAATTTGATACTCTATATATTCTTCAACTTTCATTTTTTTTATTAATTCTATATTAATGGGTTCGCTATCTGATTCAATATCCATCATTTTCATTGATTTATATAATTGTTCTTTTCTATCCATTATATATTATTATTGTATTTTATTGATTATTTGAATTAAAATTATATTTATGTATATTAAAAAAAAATTAAAAAAAATGGGTGAAAAATTAAAAAATTAAAAAATTAAAAAATTAAAAAAAAAAAAAATAAAGAGGGAAATTATTTTTTTAAATGAAAAAAAATAATTTATAATAGAAACAAAACAAAAACATATAAATATAAAAACAATATTGTATATTGTTTTAATTGTCTTTTTAAAATAATAGTTTTATATAGTTATATACCCTAATCTATTTAAAATTTTTTTTTTTTTTAAATTTTTTAAATTATTTTTTTTTTTTTTTAAAATTTTTTTTTTTTTTTTTTTCGTGATTTTAAATTTTTTATTTTCATTTTTTATATTTATTTTTATTTTTTTCTTTGTAATGATCATTCATTTATATATTAATTAATTTTTTTATATAAAAAAAAAAAAAAAAAAATAGAATGAATCATCAGAATCCTTTATATCCAAATCTTGGGGGTTATCAAAGTGATCCACAACAATTAAATCAACAACAATCACAACAACATGATTATAATTATCAACAATCCCCAAATATTCCATTACATCACCAATCAATATACAGACAACAATCACCCTCACAACAGCAATCTAATTTAATATCATCACAAAGACCATATAATACACCTGGGTTAACTAATAGTTTATACCGTGATGTTCAAATACCATCTTCATCATTATATCAACAACCACAACCAACTCCATTAACCCAATCTATTGGAACTCAAATATTACCAGCACAACAACAACAACAACAACAACCAAGCATAGTTCCACAATCATTATCACCTTTATCACCACAACCAACTAAATCAGATTCATTATTAATCATTACTGAATTTGATAAAGATGAGGACTTAAAAAGTATATTTACAAAGTCAATTGACTCAGTTGATAAAAGCGTTAATAAGGTATCCGAAACACCAGACCCAACATCAAAGCTTATAAATAAAAGAGATCCAGGTTTTAATTATTTCGAATCAAATAATCAATATTGGTCAACTATGATTATCGAAAAGTACATTGAGTTACCAAAAGAAATTGCTAATGCCCTTTTAACCACATCAACTAAATCATCCTTTGGTTTATTCCCAGAAATTAACAGAGCATGGATATCAATTGATCAAACTCTTTATCTTTGGGATTATAGGGCCAATGAAACTACATCACACAATCTTTCACAAGTCATTATAAATTGTGCATTGGTTACTCCAAAAAAGAATACATTTAAAGATAATGTCAAAAAAGTTATGGTAGTTTGTACACATGTAGAAATATTTTTATTTGCTTTATGCTATTCATCAGAGAATAAGTTTGAATTATTATCGGGTAAATATAAAATTATCAATAGTATTTTTATAAATTTATCATTACAGTTACTAATATTTTGTTTTTTTTTAAAATAATAAAAAGGATTATCTATTCCAACTGATAACGTTTGTATTTCAGATATTATTGGTACAAAAGAAGGTAGAGTTTTTTTATCAGGTCAAGATGGACATATTTATGAAATCGAATATAGTAAAGATAGTTTATATTGGTTCAGTAATGAAAGAATAAAAAAAACTAACCTCACTCAAAATTTTGTCGAAAACTTTATTAATTTCCAAAAGAAGCAACAAATTATCCAATTAATGTATGATGAGGAGCGTTGTTTACTCTATAGTTTATCAAAGGATTCCATTATAAATGTGTACAGTTTGGGTGTTGGTGCCGATAAATTTCAACATCATAAAACCATTAAACCAATTCAAGACTATGAACAACAAACAAATAACATTGGTGGCGTTCGTCAATCTCAAATGGTTATGTCAATTCATTGCTCTTCAAAAGAAACTCTATTTAATTTTGTTGCAATTTTATCGAATGGTGAACGTTTATACTATACTTTAGAAAAGTTGGCTTACATTAGATCACCACCAAATAACATGGAATCAAACAATGGTTTAATTCATTATACATATTACAATAATGGTGTATTCTTTACAGCTGCTAGTGTCAATGATCAAGAGGATCGTTTGGTTGGAACCACTTTATTTGGTAATGATATTATTAAACAATTTTATGAATCCACCAAAACAAATTACTCTAATCAAGTCTCTCAAGATACTCTTTCAGAGAAAGCAAATCTTTTTTCAATTCGTGGTAGAGTTAGCGTAATAAAAGAAGATATCACAAATTTAAAACAAACTGTATACTACAAAGAGTTAACAAATGAACATATGACCATTCAACGTAGATTCTTATGTTTAAATTCTTTAGGTTTACATTTTATAACAAAATTAAAATATGTTGATATTTTACAAAATATTTTATCAACCAATAGTTTAAATGATATTGATGTAAGTTATTATTATTGTTATTATTATTAATTTTATAAATTGTGATATTAATAACTTTTTTTTTTATAGAACTTTTTTGAAGCATTTGGTAAAATTCTAACATCTTCTTTATGCATCAGTTTATATTGTTTATCACCACATAGTTCCATCACATTACAAAATCAAATCTATTCATCAACCACTATACCAAAAACAACAACAACTAGAGTTGCAGATTTAGCAATGGCTTATTTTAGAAGAAACAGTGGTAAACCAACTATGCTGCAATTAACCCCACAACCATTTACAGATATGGGTGCTGCAGTTAATAAAAATGAAACACTTAATAGTAATTCCTATAATGGTTTATTGGCATACTTGGGTCGTTTATTACATCCACTTTGGTATCAACCAATTATCTTACCAAATGGTAATTGCAATTGGAGTATAGTTCAAATTCAATTATATCAATCTCACTTTAGTAATCTTTTATCATTTTTAGAAATTTCCCAATTAATTCCAAAAGGCGCTGAAATTCCAATTTTCAAACCCAATATTAATCAACAAGCAGAAAACAATAATCCTGAAGATCATGCATTAAAAGATGAAAAGCGTAGTTTAATCGGTTTAAAGAATATTATTGTAAAAACCATTGAAATTCTTTCATTACTTTTAATACTTAGCCAATACAATTTTAAACAATTATTCGATAGTTCAAATATTCCAGATGATATAAAAAGAAAAGTAGACTTGATTAAATTTAGAGATATTTTAAATAATGATGTATTGGGTAGACCAACACAACCAATATCAATAAATTCACCAACATTAAATAATACTTTATCGGTAGATAGTAATAGTAACACTAATAACAATAATAATAATAATAATAATAATAATAGCAACAGTGTTACATCAAATTTAACAGATATCATTAATCAATTAATTGACTCTTTAATGAGATCATTAAATAATCATAATATTAATATTGATCAAGTCTCAAATTTATTAGAAACCGAATGTCCATTATTCTTTAGAAAAGAGAAGAGAGAACTTTACAAAGTTAAAGAGAAATTAAATATGGTTTTATGTGATGGCCCAATTTATTTAACTGAATCTTTAATTAGAGATGCTGTTTTAATTTTAGAATCAATATCACCAAATTTCGAAATTAAAGAAATCGTTAAACTTTTATTCGATGCCAGGGCTTTCCAATATATTGCTCCACTCTGTTTAAAGTATGGTGAAGATTTAGATCCACATGGTGTTACATTAAACCCATCCCCAAACCCATCCGATGAAGTTAAAGATAAATTAAATCAAAAGAAGGATTGTTTTGGTGAAATCGTAAAGTTATTAGATAAACTTAAAGATAGCAACATCAATGATATTAGCGAAAATCAAAGAAACACAGAAATTATTAATACTATTATCAATCAATCATTATCTTCAAACGATCGTTTAGTTCACGAAATTATTTATTCATGGTTATTAAGATATGGTTGGATCGAACATATTTATAATATTAGTTCACCATTCATAATTGATTACCTCATAGCAAATGATATCAATTTATCTTGGAAGGTTTTGGCTAAACACCAAGATTATATCAGAGCTGCTAATGTTTTATTTAGAATTGCCGAAAACTCCACCAATTTAGAGGATAAAATTGCTGCCTACACCAACTGTACTATGATACTTAGTGAAAGAAAAGATGAAGATTACTATATTGCCGCTAAAGGTCAAATCACTACTGCAAATATTCAAAAACAAATTATTGCCCAATTAGAGGACATCTTAAATAAAGGTTCAACCAATGGTACCACATTTAATGCTCAAGAAATTCGTAATGCCATTTCAGAACTCAATAAAACCATATTCGATTACACCACCCTTTTTACAGAATATGCCAGAAAATATTGTTTATATGAACAAATGCTTCACATTTGTCACATTGGTAACCACAACGATCAAGGCTTCATTCAATTACTCTGGAAGATTGTCATTGATAAAGTCGTTCCAAATGATGATAACTCTGAAAATCCAGTTGCAAGTATAATCGAAACATTGGCTTCTAAAATTAGTAATATTGGTTATGACTTTTATCCAAATGAGATCACCTTCCCAGTTAGCTACATCATCAACATTGCTGAAAAAGCTATATTTGATTTCACCCGTAACAAGAGTGAATCAGAGAAGAAGCAAATATCACCAAATTGGTTAACCAGCTCATTACACGATCATGTTAAGATTGACTATTGGATTTTAGTAGAATGTTATAATACAATTATCGAAAAAGAAAACTGGAAAGAAGATACTCAGTCAATGTTATATATCATTTGCTCATACTTTTATTTAGTCGAATCACTTATCAACACTATTCAAACCTCAACCGAACGTAGATTATTTAGCAGCAAACAAATTTTACAAACTTTGGAAATTCGTGAAAAAACCTTTAAATCAATTATTGAAAAAGAGCAAGATAAACTTTCTCAAGAGTCAAAAAATAAATTAAAGGAATTACTTGAAAAATTTGAAAAAATTATTTCAATTTCAAAATCTTTTAAAGATTTTAGATATTAAAAAAAAAAAAAAAAAAAAAACAAATAATTATATATTATCTAAAAAATAATATTATACTTTAAAATAAAAAACAAATAAAAAATAAATTTAATATTTTAAAAAAAAAAAATTGATCATTTCTAGTTTTTCTTTTAAATGGTAACGCTTAATATTATAAATAATGATATATTTGTTTATAGATATGGCACTAACATCTCATTATAATTATGATGATGACATATATTTAAAAAAAATCATACTACCATATATATATTTGACTCAAAGAAAAAGAAACATTAATTACAAAATAGGATATGAAAAATATAATAAAAAATTTTATTTCGAAAAAATATTTAATAAAAACTGATACAACTATTTTCTTTATAATAATTGTTCAAAAATAGATTATAATTTAGTGGTTATACACTTATTGTGTTAACAAAAAAAAAAACAACAAAAAAAACTAATGATAATTACAATAATAGTCTAAAAAATATAGCGGGTGTATAAAGATTGGGGTTAATTTTTTTTGAAAAAAAAATTCCTTAATGTTTTTTGAATAAAAGGTGGGTGTGGTTGTGTGTTTATGTGTGTGAGTAAAAAAATAAAGTTTATATGTATAAATATAAATATATTATTAAAATATAAGAATGTGTTATACATTTTCGTTAAATCTTTTCAATGGAATCTTTATTTGTGCAAAGAAAAAAAAAAATACACTCAATTTATTTTTATTATAATTGTTTTTTTTTTTTTTTTTAATTATAATTATAATTATAATTATTCATTATTTTAATTTATTTTTATTTATTTTTTTAATTGTTTAATTAATAAAAATATTTTCAAAAAAAAAAAAATTTTCATTAATCATTTTTTTTTATTCAAAATAATTTATTTGATAATTAATAATAATAATAATAAGTAGTTGGTAATAGTATAAAAATAAATAAATAAAAATAAAATGGATAGAAAATCTACAGATTCACCAAGTGGTGTTGGTGTTCCACATTTAAAACGTTCTGGTAGCATAACCAGTGCAACAAGCCATCCACATAAGGGTCTTGTAAGAACAGATTCAAGTCCAAAGTATGTATTAAAATAAAATTAAAAAACTTTAATATTATTTTTAAATTTTCATATTTTAATATTTCTTTCATTTAACTAAAGACTTTTTAAAGATAAATTTAAACATAATGAAGAATCCTCAGAAAAAGAAGAAAAAGGAAGAGGTCAGGAATTAGATCCAAAAATTTTACAGTCATTAAAATTTGACTCTGAAAAAGAAAAAGAACGTGCTCTCCTCTGGGCATTTTTAGCCAGCTATTTACCAGAAGATAAATCAACACTCCAAAGGGAATTTGTTAGACACTGTGAATATACATTGGCCCAAACAAAGAGTGAAGCAACAGACTTTTCAGCATTCCAAGCTCTATCAAGTTGTACAAGGGATAGATTAATCGAAAGATGGAAGGATACCAAGCTTTTCTTTAAACAAAAGAATGTTAAACAAGTTAACTATATGTCATTAGAGTTCCTTTTGGGTAGATCTCTTCAAAACTCACTTAGTGCTCTTGGTTTGGTCGGTAAATACGCTGATGCCCTAATGGATCTTGGCTTTAAATTAGAAGATCTATATGATGAAGAAAGAGACGCAGGTCTTGGTAATGGTGGTCTTGGTCGTTTGGCTGCATGCTTTATGGACTCGTTAGCAACTTGTAACTATCCAGGTTATGGTTATGGCCTTCGTTATAAGTTTGGTATGTTTTATCAAACCATTGTTGATGGTGAACAAATCGAACTACCAGATTATTGGTTAAATTATGGCTCTCCATGGGAAATAGAACGTCTTGATGTCTCCTATCCTATTAACTTCTATGGCAAAGTAGTTGAAGTAGAAGAAAATGGCAAAAAGAAAATGAAATGGGAGCAAGGTGAACAAATGTTAGCTGTGGCTTATGACTATCCAATTCCAGGCTTCAAAACCTATAACACTGTTGCAATTAGACTTTGGTCTTCAAAACCATCTGACGAATTTAACTTAGAGTCATTCAACAAGGGTGACTATTTAGGTGCAATTGAAGATAAAGAAAAATCTGAAAACATTACCAATGTTCTCTATCCAAACGATAACACAATGCAAGGTAAAGAACTTCGTCTCAAACAACAATATCTTTTCGTTAGTGCCACAATTCAAGATATCATTTCTCAATTCAAAGAAACTGGAAAACCATTTAAAGAATTCTCAAACTTCCATGCCATCCAACTTAATGACACCCATCCAACCCTTGGTATCCCAGAATTAATGAGAATCTTAATTGATGAAGAAGATCTATCATGGGATGAAGCTTGGGATATTACACAAAAAACCTTCTCATATACCAATCACACTGTTTTACCAGAGGCACTCGAAAAATGGTCTGTCTCAATGGTCGAACACCTCTTACCAAGACATATTCAAATCATTTATGAAATTAATGAAAGATTCTTAAAGTTAGTAGATCAAAAATGGCCAGGTGATGTCGAAAAAAGAAGAACCCTTTCAATCATTGATGAATCACATGGTAAAAATATCAAAATGGCTTCTTTGGCAATTGTTGGTTCACACACTATAAATGGTGTTGCCTATTTACATTCAGAACTTGTAAAGCATGATGTATTCCCATTATTCTATGAAATGTGGCCAAAGAAATTCCAAAACAAAACCAATGGTGTTACTCCAAGACGTTGGATTCAACAAGCTAACCCAGACCTTTCCGAATTAATCACTCGTTCGCTAAACTCTGATCGTTGGTTGGTTAATCTTGACATTATTAAAGAACTCCGTCACTTAGCAGATAACTCGTCATTCCAAAAAGAATGGATGGAAATTAAACGTATGAACAAGATTCGTTTAGCAGAATACATCGAAAGAGTCTGTGAAACCAAAGTTAATGTCGATGTTCTATTCGATGTTCATGTAAAACGTTTCCATGAATACAAGAGACAACTATTAAACATTCTTGGTTGTATCAATCGTTATTTAGATATCAAAGAAGGTAAAAAGGTAGCACCCAGGGTCGTTATCTTTGGTGGTAAGGCTGCCCCAGGTTACTACATGGCCAAACTATTTATCAAACTTATTAATTCAGTTGCTTCAGTTGTAAATAATGATCCAAAGGTTGGTGACCTTCTTAAAATTGTTTTCATTCCAAATTATTGTGTCTCCAATGCAGAAATTATCATTCCAGCCAGTGATATTTCACAACACATTTCAACTGCTGGTACCGAAGCTTCTGGTACAAGTAATATGAAATTCAGTATGAATGGTGGTTTAATTATAGGTACATTGGATGGTGCAAATATTGAAATTCGTGATGCAATCGGACATGAAAATATGTATATCTTTGGTGCTCGTTCCGAAGAAGTAAACGGTATTAAGAAAAAGATCCATGATGGCAAATTTACACCAGACCCAAGATGGGAAAGAGTTCTCTTGGCTATCAAAGAGGATATGTTTGGTCCACATCAACAATTCCAAGACATTATCAATTCAGTTAGTGCAGGTAATGATCATTACATTGTTTCATATGACTTTGCCTCATATCTTGATATTCAAAACTCAATTGATGCTGATTATAAAGATAAAGCAAAATGGGCAAAGAAATCAATTATGGCCTCAGTTGGTTGTGGTACATTTTCATCTGATAGAACCATTAGAGAATATGCAGAGAATATTTGGAACATTGAAGAATGGAAGAGACCAGGTCCAGTAAATGTTTCACACGAAGAAGCAAAAACCCTTAGAGTACCTCCAGTTGGTAGCCCAAATGATGTAAATTCAATCTCAATGGAAAGATTATCACCATTAACTTTTGTTAAACAAACCTCAAGCTCACCACTAACTGTTGTAAACCAAAATAATGACAAGTCAAATGTTACAAAACCAAAACAAACTACTAAAGGTTTTAATGTTACTGGTAATCCAACAAATTAATTTTTTTAAAAAAAAAAGATATAATATTAATTTTAATATATTAAAAAGAATAAAATAATTTTAAAAAAAAAACATCTTTATTCATTTTTTATTTTTATTTATTTAAAAAAAATTTAGTAAATTAACATAGTTACTCAAATGATTCATAGTTTATTTTTTTTACTAGAAGTAAAAGTACGTTATTTTTTATTTCTTTTTTTAACCTAATAATCCTATTTAAAAATGATTTAATAAAAATATAATATAAAAAAAAAACTAAAAGAAATAAAACTCATTGATTATCTCTTCAATTTAAAATCAAGTAAAACCTAAAATAGTCATTTTTTCCTAAATATTATTTTATTATTGTTTTTAAAATATCTTTTTTTTTTATTTATTTTTATTTTATTTTATTTATTTATCTATTTATTTTTTTTATTTTTTTTTTATTATATTTGGGTTTAATTTTTTTTTCTTTTTATTTTTATTTTTATTTCTTTAATAAATCAAAGAAAAATATAGTAAATAATTAATAAAAAAAAAGATCAGATATTTTTTAGAGATCTGAAGAAAATTGATAAACCATCATATCAAAATTTCTTTGAAGCTACCAAAATTATTTTATGAAATTATTGTTTTTTTTTAATAAAATTATTAATATTTTATCAATACTGACTATTTTTTTTATAAAATTATTATTACAGAAAATTTTCTCAATTATTGGTAATGATAATTTTTTCATAAAAAATTAAAAATGAAAAAATTAGAAAAAAAAAAGAAATAGTTTTTTAAATTTTTTGTGGGAAAAAAAATTCAAAAAAAAATATAAATATCAAAATTTTTTTTATAATTATTATTGTTTACAATCAGTTTTATTGATTAACAAATATATTTTAAAGGTATAGTTCAATTATTTATTCATATATTATTTTATTCACACACAATCACATTATCTAAAAAAAAAAATATACATATATATATATCAATAAAAATTATTAATAGATAATAATCAAAATCAACTATCAATAACTCTATAATAATTATTAGATTTTTTTTTCTTTTTTTTTTACCAACTGCTACTAAGAAAAAATATCTTTTTTTTTTCTTTTTTTTTTCACTATTTTTTTTTTTTTTGAAATTTTTTTTTTTTTTTTTTAATTTTTAAAAATATATTTTTTTTTTTCTTTTATTATATTAAATTATAAATTTATTTATAAATAAATATTATAATTAATTTATATTAATCTTTTTTTTTTTAAATACAGATTTTTTTTTTTTTTTTTTATAACTAATACTCTCATATATATATAAAATATAATGGCCTCTCAACCATCAACTGTCATTCGTGTTAAACCACATCATTTTATTCATGTAAGTAGATTTTTTTTAAAAAAAAATTATAAAAACAAATAATTTTTAATATAATATTAACTTTTTATTTTTTTTTTATAATTCAGGTTTTAGATAATAATACCAATGTTACCAGAGTTGAAGTTGGTCCACAAACTTTCACCAGACAAGACCATGAAAGAGTATTACACCCAACTCCATTACCAATGATTTTAATTCCACCAAGAAATTATTGTATCATTGACAACCCAATTATTAGAAAGGATGGTGTTTTAGTTGTTGATCAATTCAATCAACCAAAACTCCGTCATGGTGATCAAGAAATTCGTTTCAGTCAAGATCCATTCCCATTATATCCAGGTGAAGTTTTAATTGCCCAACCAGTTCCATTACAAGTTATTCAAGCCAATTCAGCTTTAAGATTAAAATGTCTTCGTGACTTTGTCGAAGTTAAGGCTGATAAAACCACTGTTTCACGTACTGCTGGTGATGAATGGTTATTTGAAGGTCCAGGCACATATTATCCACGTGTCGAAGTTACAGTTATTGAACCAGTTAAAGCTGTTATTATTAAAGAAAATCAAGCCCTCAAATTAAGAGCTCGTCTTTGTTTCACCGATCGTAAAGGTTCCGAACGTCAACCAGGTGAAGAATGGTTAGTTCGTGAAAGTGGTGCCTATTTACCAGGTGTTCATGAAGAAATTGTTGGTTTTATTCAAGCCCTTGTTTTAACCGATCGTATTGCTTATCAATTATTAGCTCTCCGTTCATTCATTGATTGTTTCGGTAAAGCTCGTAAAGCTGGTGAAGAATGGATTATCACCCAATCAGATTGCGATACCTATATTCCAGACGTCAATGAAAAAGTTGTTCGTGATATTAAAGCCATCACTTTAACCAATCGTCAATACTGTATCGTCGAAAATCCAGTTGACAAAGCTACTGGTAAAAATAAATTAGGTCACAAACAACTCTTACAAGGTGATCTTACTTTCTTCTTATTACCAGGTGAATCATTAGTCAAAGGTATCCAAAATGTTAACGTTTTATCAGAAGATGAAGCTCTCTTATTAAGTGCCAAAGAAGAATTTGTTGAAAAGAAAGGTAAAGAAACTGTTGTTCACAAACCAGGTGATCTTTGGATGATTTATGGTCCATGCGATTATATTCCACCAATTCAAGTTGATGTTGTCGAACGTCGTAAACGTATTCCATTAGATGTCAATGAAGGTATCTATGTTCGTGATATTAAAACTGGTAAAGTTCGTTCAGTTCACGGTTCATCATACATGTTATTACCAAACGAAGAACGTTGGGCTAAACCACTCTCACCAATTGTTGATGAACTCTTAAATAAATCAGCTTCACGTGATGTTAACGAAGAACACAACAATGCTGAAAGAGATCCAACTAAAGTTGTTACTTACCGTGTTCCACATAATGCTGCTGTTCAAATTTTCGATTACAGAAAGAAAGAAGCTCGTGTTATCTTTGGTCCAGAATTAGTTATGTTAGAACCAGATGAAGAGTTCACTGTTCTTTCACTCTCTGGTAAAATTCCAAAGAGACCAAATCACATTCGTTCACTTGCTCTCTTCTTAGGTCCAGATTTCATGACTGATTTAATTACTGTCGAAACCGCCGATCATGCTCGTCTTTCATTAAAACTTTCATACAACTGGCACTTTAAGATCGAACCAAAGAACCCATCCAAATTATTCGCCACCTCCGATTTCACTGGTGATCTTTGCAAAGCTACTGGTTCTTTAGTTCGTGCTGCTGTTGCTGCTTCAACTTTCGATAACTTCCACAAACATTCATCAGATATCATCCAAACTGCCGTTTTTGGTAAAAACAAAAATGGTGAAAGCAATGACTGTCTCTATTTCGAAACTAATGGTTTAGTCATCACCAATATTGATGTTCAATCAGTTGAACCAGTCGATCAAAGAACCTTAGATTCATTACAAAAATCAGTTCAATTAGCCATTGAAATTACCACCAAATCACAAGAAGCTACTGCTCGTCAAGAAGCTGAACGTCTCGAACAAATGGCCCGTGGTGAACTTGAACGTCAAAAAATTGTTGATGAAGCCAGAGCTGAAGAATCTCGTGCTAAATTAGTTCAATTACAAGCTCAATCAGCTGCTGTCGAATCAACTGGTCAAGCTGTTGCTGAAGCAAGAGCTAGAGCTGAAGCTGCTATCATTGAAGCTGAATCAGAAATTAAACATGCTAAACTTTCAACTAAAGCTACCGAAATCGAAAGCAATGCCGATCTCGAAACCATTAAAGCCAAACGTATTGCTGAATTAGAACACGTTAAAGCCCTTAACGATTTAGAAGTTGTTAAAGCTAGAGAATTAGCTGCCATCGAAATTAGCAAATTCGAAAATACTGTTAATGCTTTAGGTAGTGATACTATTTGTGCCATTTCAAATGCTGGTCCAGAAATGCAAGCTAAATTATTAGGTTCCCTCAATCTTTCATCAGTTATGATTACTGATGGTTCATCCCCAGTCAATCTTTTCAATACCGCTAATGGTTTAATTGGTAACGGTGTAAATATGCATGAATAAATTATTTGAAAAAAAATAATTTATTTTTTTAAAAAAAAAAAAAAATTTAATCAAATACACATTTAACAACAAATCAAATAATAATAACAAAAAAAAAAAATTTAATAGTTTTTTTTTTTTCTAAAAATTGTAAAATAAAAAATAATTTATTTAAAAAATAATAATAACATTATTTCTAAAAAAAAAAATTTATATGATTCCTTTTATTTTTTATAATAATTATACAAATAATTTTTTTTTATTTATATTATTGAATTTGGAAATTATTTTTTTATTTTTTTCTTTTATTTTTCTATTTTTTTTTCTATTTTTTATTTTTTTTATTTTTTGTGTTTTTAATATTTTTTTTATTTTTTTTCATTGTAATTTTAAATACCATTCATATCATTTTAAATATTATTCATATTGTTTCAAATGGGGGATATAGAAATAAACTCAAGGTTATTTTATAAATTATATCATAATATATTTATAAGATCAATAATATTTCAGCATTTAAAAAGATTTAAGAAATTTTATAATGTAGAAATTAATATAAATACAAGCATTTTAGATGGTGATATTAACAATTTTTCAAAAATTAGTAAAGGTTTTAAAGAATATTTTAGAGCAGTCAATATTAAAATCGAAAAGGAAATTGAAAACTCAGATCTGGGTGATTTAATATGGTTTATAAAGAATTTACCGCCAAATATAGAAAAGCTTACAATTGAATTTGCAAAACATCTAATGTCATGCAGATCAATTAAATTTTATAAAATACCAAACTTTATTACCGAATTAACCATAAAATTCCCAAATCATTACAAACATTCAATAACACAAGACAGTTTGCCACCAAATTTAAAATATCTAGAACTTTTAAATTTTGGTTTATCAATAGAACCTGGTGTTTTGCCATCAACACTTGAAACAATAAAAATATTGTCTAGCAGCTCCAGAGCAATGGATTATTCATTTCCTATAAGTTGCAGAGAATTGGATCTTTTTTATTTTACCAAAGTAAAGGAATCAGATTTAAAGGAATTGGTTAATTTAAAAAATTTAAAAATTCATTATGATACATATCGTAGTGCGCCAAATAGTGTAACTGATTTAACAATTTTTGGGTGGATAAAGGACGTTTTAGTTTTACCATCAAGTTTAAAATCATTGCATGTTCCAAATGGGTTTTATAGGGGCAAAGTGTTATTTAATATCTCTGAGGAGAATAGTACTTTTGAAACTTTAAGAATTGGGTCAAGTGGTTATGTTCAAGATTTATGGGAAAATGAGGAATCAATGGTTCCAGGTTCTCTTACTAAATTGATTTGCGATACAGCTATATGCAAATCTTTTTCTAGAAATGTATTACCTCATGGTTTAAAAAAACTCAAAGTTTCATCAACAAATGGGAATTTAACACCTTTATCATTACCTCCAACATTAGTATCATTCTATATTTTAAGAAGTACCACCGAAGTTAAATATTTACCAAGAAGTGCCAGGGAAATTGGGTTTAAAGATGAATATGATTATTTAAATGTAGATGTAAATGATATTCCACAGAATATTACATCACTCAAATTTACAATTAGTTTTTCAAATACTCAGTTTCCACGTCCTTTTGGTCTAGATTCTGCAATAAAGTTTATGAAATTTAAATTTCCCGAGTATTCTGGAGAAAGGGAAATTCATTCAAGTTGTTTTCCACAATCTCTTAGATATTTAGAGTTTTCAAATAATTGTTCTTTGGTACCACCTGTTGGTGATAATCACTTTAGGGATATTTTTCCAAGCCAATTAGCAGTATTAGTTTTACCAGATACCTTTCTTTTGGATGACCCATTAATATTACCCAGTTCCATAAAGGCATTATCATTTACACTACAAAAAATACAAGATATTAGTAATTTAAAACTACCAAAAACAATATCTATTTTAAACATTAGCAACAGAAAGGATAAAGATAATTTAAAAAATCAGAATATTTCATCAATACTCCCAGTTTCATTAAAACAATTAATTTTATTTAATGAATTGGTATTATCACTAAAGCAACCATTACCTAAATCACTCAATATTTACACCACAAGTTCAGTCATTGAAATCGGTCTAAATATTATAGAGCCCTCTATATTCGAGCTGTTAGAAGTCGCTGATGAAAAAATATATGACGATATAACGTTTTTTAAAAAAATAATACAATTAAAAAAAAATAAACAATTATATTCGCAATAAAATTTTATTGTTTTTTAAATAATAATATTGCTTTATTTATGGATTACTAGCTTTGACTGGGTCAATTAAAAATGATGGATCACAATAATATTTTGGACAGCCTCTAGATGCTTTGTTTGGTAATCTGTATAAAGTATAACCATCTTGGCAATGTGGGATATATAATGGACATGGACCTCTTGGAGTACATCCATCAAATATTGGGCAACGCGAGTTATCTTTTCTTGTAAAGGCTGGAATTTGATTGGTTGGGCATGAGATGGTGTTTGTTGGGCAAGCTGTGCTTGGGTCAGAGGAAGAGATATACACCATTGAGATGGTTAACTTATTACCGACAATATAACCTTTGGCTATAGCTGATCTACCACTTTTACCTAACAATCTTGATGTAAACCAATTTGAATCCAATAATGGAACTGTGGTATATGGATTGACATATGAATTGATTGGGGTGTTGGTATTGCTATTGACAAGAGCAGCTTTAATACCTGAACATGTTGAAAAATCACTATTACAACTACCTGCACTTAACATATAGTAGTTTTCTCTAACCTTGATCATCTTTGGGTTGGGGGATTGTGGTGGTAGTCCCATAGTGTGGTAAATTCCTTTAAGGAATAGACTATAGTATTCACCACTTGGATCGTTTGCTAATTCTGTTTTTTCTAATTCCCCCAATACAATAATATTGGCATAATCCTCTAAAAGTGACATATTAATGGTTGCGTCTACTAATGAAGTTTGTACTTGGTGGTACTCCTTTCCTTCTTGATCATTAACTTTGGTTAAAAAGTTCCCACCACAAAGAGGGGCCGCACATTTTCTAAAATCTGGTCTTAAAAAGAACCATTCTTCTTTTGAATACACTAAATTAATTGTTAAAAGTATTAATAAACAAATTAGTAATTTCATTATTAAAAATAATTTGAATTATAATATTAATAATAATAAAAAAAAAAAGATTTTTATATTAATTTTTTAAGTTGTTATTAATGAAGAAAAAAAAAAAATTAAATAAATAAAATAAAATAAATAAATAATTAAAATAAATAAAATTCAGAAAATTTAAAATTATTATTTGTTTTTTTTTTTTTTTTAAAATTATACCACATTACCATTACCATATTAAGTCTTTATTTTGTATTTAGTGGTAGGTTTTTTTACCCTTAATTAAATATTTTTTTTTTTTTTTTGAATTCATAAAATAACAGATTTTAGATGAAAAAATTATTAAAAAAACAATCTAAATAAAGTGATTATTGTAATAACAAAAAAAAATTTTATTGGTCGAAAATATTATTATAAAATATATATTGTATGCCCATAGTAGGGATAATTTTATTGATTGTTTTTATTAATTTGAAAAAATATAAAAAATTTAATTAAAAAAAATAAAAACGAAAAAAAAAAAAAAAAAAAAATCATTTAAAAAAAAAATAAAATGTTAAAAAGAACATTTTTAATAAATTCAAATAATTTTAAAACATTATTATCAAAATGTTCCTCAAATAATAATATTATTGGAGCTACATCTAGCATTAATAATAATAAAATAGCAACACCAATAACTACAACTAAAAGATATTATTTTAAAACTACATGTTTACAAAAACATAAACATCCACATGTTGCCAAAGTATCAATTGAAGGAATTAAACATATTATAGCAGTATCATCGGCAAAAGGTGGTGTAGGTAAATCAACATCAGCTGTTAATTTGGCTTTGGGATTATCATCACAGGATTTATCCGTTGGGTTATTGGATGCCGATGTATTTGGACCATCAATACCTTTAATGATGGATTTAAAGGGTCAAGAGAAACCATTGGTAAACGATAATAACCAAATGGTCCCATTAATTAATTATGGTATTAAATGTATGTCTATGGGCTTCCTCGTTGATGAAGATGATGCAATTGTTTGGAGGGGTCCTATGGTAATGTCTGCATTAGAAAAATTATTAAGACAAACAAATTGGGGGCTTTTAGATGTTTTAGTTGTAGATTTACCACCAGGTACGGGTGATGCTATCTTAACAATGTGTCAAAGAGTACCTTTATCAGGTGCTGTTATCATTTCAACTCCTCAAGATGTAGCTCTTGCCGATGTTGTTAGAGGTGTAAATATGTTTAAAAAAGTTAATGTACCAGTAAGTAACTGTTTCATAATATTTTCACACTTTAAATATTTAAAGTATACTAATGTCTACAAATTTATAGATTTTAGGATTGGTTGAAAATATGTCCCATTTTAATTGCCCACACTGCCATGAATCAACTCATATTTTTGGTAGCGAGGGTGCTAAAAAAACTGCTCAAAAAATGGGTATTAATTTTTTAGGTGATATCCCAATTCATTTAGAAATTAGAGAAACATCAGATAGTGGAAAACCAATAACTATAACCCAACCAAATTCACCACAAGCTAAAATATATAAAGATATTTCAAAAGAAATTATTAAACAACTAGAAATTTTAGATAATCAAAATAACGATAGTAATAATCAAAAATCACCACCAAATATTGTTATTGAATAAACATATTGGTTTTTTTTAAGTTTAAAATAAAATAAAATAAAATAAAATTATATAATAAAATATAGCTATTTCTTTTTTTTCTTTTTTTTTCTTTTATATTTTATATTTTTAGATATAAAAAAAATTTGAAATTAGAATTTTTTTTATTTTTTTTTTTAATTTTTTTTTTAAAATTTTTTTTATTTTTTATTTTTTAAAAATTTTCATCATCACTTTTTTTTTGTTATATTCATAATCAACATCATTTTCAATATATATTAAAAAGAATGTCAGATCTTAGTTTTACAGGCATTGTCAAATCATTTTTTGATAGTTATTCAAAAACTCCACAAAAATTAAAGATCATTGATCTTTTCCTTATATATACATTCTTAACTGGTGTTATTGTATTTGGTTATTGTTGTTTAGTTGGTACTTTTCCATTCAATTCATTTTTAGCTGCTTTCATTAGTTGTGTTGGTTGTTTCGTTCTTGCTGGTAAGATTTTAAAATTAAAATAAGTCATTATAATAATAATAAATAATAATAATAGTAATAAAAATAGTTTAGATGATATGAATATTTACATTATTTCTTAATATTATAAAATATTTATTAACCTATTTTTTCATTTAATTAATCAAATAAAAAACTATAGCATGTTTAAGAATTCAAATAAACCCAATCAATAACTTTAATAAAACTATTTCACCAGAAAGAGCATTCACAGACTTTTTATTATGCAATTTAATTCTTCACCTTGTTGTTTTCAATTTCTTAGGTTAAAATAAAAGTTGTAAAAAAGTAAAATTTAAAAAAGAAATAAAATAAATAAAATATAAATTATATAACCCAATATTTCTTATTTTCTTATTATATCAATGTCGTTTTATAATATCACAGCAGAGGAAAATAAAAAATCTATTATATTATTTGGGATATAGGTTCTTTTATTTTTCTGTCATACATTTTTTCTTTAATAAAATATTAAATAATTTACTCAAAAAAATTAGAAAAAAAAAAAAATCTTTTTTTTAATTTATATATTTTAAGTAATATTGCCTTTTTTTATGTTTATTTTTAGTTTTTATTGTTTGTAAATTGATATATGAAAGAATCGAGACATGATGTTCTAATTCTTTCACAGGTTGCTGGTGATGGTAAATCAAACCAATCATTTAAATTGGTTTCTTTTCTGGCGGCTGTAATAGCTTGACGGATTGCAAAGTAAACTGATGAACCTAAGAAAAGTGGTGGTTCACCAACACCTTTGGATGAATGAATGGCTTTTGGATTTGGTGCATCATTTAATAATGAAACATTGAATTCTAATGGAACATCATTGAAACCTGGAATTTTATAAGTTGATGGACCTCTTGTAAATAGGTAACCAGTTGGGAAAGTTACAACCTCTTCGGTACAACTCCAGCCCATACCTTGAACAAAGGCACCTTCAACTTGACCAATATCAATAGTTGGATTTAAACTATCACCAACATCCAAAATTACATCAGATCTAAGTACAGTGTGATCACCAGTAAGGACATCGATTTCGACTTCTGAACAAGCAGCACCAAAATTGAAATAATTGAATGGAGTACCTTCACCAACGCCACCATCTTTGAATACATAACCAACATTTGGAGTAGCATAGAAACCATTGGATGATAGATTAACTCTTTGTACAAAAGCTTCAATGCATAGTTGTTTGAATGTCATATTTGGGTTCTTTTCCTTAAGTGGTTCTAAACGCTTAAGGATATTTTGACAAGCATCCAATACGGCCATACCATTCAAATCGGAGGAAACTGAGGCAGCAGTTGGAGTAGTATTTGCAACTTTATCTGTTGATGTTTCAGAGATAAAGACATCTTTAACTGGAATACCAAATGCACGAGCTGCAATTTGAATCATTTTAGTATTTAAACCTTGACCCATTTCAGTACCACCATGAGTAACTAAAACAGTACCATCAGTATAACAATGTACCAATGCACCTGCTTGATTTAATGTTTTAACGGTGAATGACATACCAAATTTGGTTGGAATAACAGCAATACCTCTCTTTTTCCAACGATTCTTTTCATTAAAATCGTTTACTTTATTGATACGTTCTAAATAATTTGATTTCTCGAGAATTGTATCCCAAACACGTTGCATTTGATTATTTTCGACTGCTTGAAGGTAGTGAGTTAATTCACCCTCTTTGTAAAAGTTCTTTGCTCTAATGATATGTGATTCGATATTTAAAACTTTAGAGATTTTTTCAACCCAATTTTCGACAATAATCATAGCTTGTGGACCACCATAACCTCTGAATGCTGTATTGGATGGTAAATTGGTTTTGCATAAACGACCAACAACATTAACATTTGGAATCTTGTAAGCATTTTCAGAGTGGAAAATAGCTCTATCTAAAACACCAACTGAAATATCATAAGAGTAACCTGCATCGGCATATAGTTCTAAATCTAATGCTTTAATAAGACCATCTTTGGTGACACCAACTTTATATTTAGCAATGAATGGATGTCTTGTACCTGTGGTGGCCATATCGGTATCTCTATCGAGAATAATTCTAACTGGTTCTCTTTGATGATAGGCGGCTACAGCAGCTACACAAGTTGAAAATATGGATCTGGTTTCTTTACCACCAAAACCACCACCTAATCTCTTTAATTTGCAAACAACTTGATTTTGTGGAACACCCAAAACACTTGCTACAATACCTTGGGTTTTGGTTGGATTTTGAGTGGATGCATAAATTGTCATTTCTTTTCCTTCACCTGGTACGACTAATGAGCCATTTGGTTCAAGATAAAAGTGTTCTTGAGCACCACATTTAAATTCGCCTTCAATGATATGATCAGACTCTTCGAAGCCTTTAACGATATCACCATCTTTAATAACGTGAGTGAATGGGAAGAAAGATTTTTTGGCAATTGCATCTTCGATTGTAACAATGGCTGGTAATTCTTCATATTCGATTTGAACCATTTTAGATGCCTCCAAAGCTTGTTGGTGAGTCTCTGCTACAATACAACCAATTGGAGCACCGTGAAAAATTGCAATATCAGAAGCAAATACTTCATCATCTTTAATAACAGGGCCACAATTATTTTCACCTGGAACATCTTTGGCAGAGTAGAAAGCTTTAACACCTGGGGCTTTGAGAGCACGCGAGGCATCAATTGATAAAATTTTAGCATGTGCCTTTGTTGATTGAACGAAACAAGTGTATAATGATTTGATTTTAATATCATCTACATAAAGAGCTTCACCAGTAACTTGTTTATCAGCAGATTGATGAATAACTGGTTGGGTAATTGGATGTTTTTCTGGTTGGGTTTGGTATTCTTGTTGACCTTTTGATAATGGTCTACTGTAAGGTGCTGTTACTGATAATTCTTTATCGCTTAATGAATAGGATGGGTTCTTTGAGATTTCATAAAGTTGTTTTGAAACTGTTAAAAAGTATTTAAAGAAGAAACTTGTTGTTAATGAACGACGATATTCAATCATACCACCTGGTGCACCTTGAGCTAATGGTAAATCGACTTCTAATTTCTTATAGATCTCATCCAATTGATTTCTATCCCAAATGGAACCAATTAAAAATTGTTCAGTATTTTGGCAACTTTAAATGATAAATCAATTAATAACTATGTTAAAAAGTAATTAAATTTAATATATTATATTGATAGCTTACGTAACAGCTTTAACATTCATACCACCATATGCTAAAACACATTCTCTAACTTTGAATTGGTTATTTTCAAAATTTTCAAATAAAATTCTAAAGCAGCAACTAACAATTGCAATATCATCTTCTCTTCTTCTTGATTGTTTATAAGCTTGAACAAACTCGAGTGGTCTAGTATATGGAATGAAAACAGATTGCAAAATTTCTTCTGGTTTAATATCGACTATTCTGTATTTTAAAAAGAATGAACCAATTGGTACTTTTCTTTCGACAATAGTACCGCTTTCGTCTTGTGAAACCATAGTTAAAATGGCGCCAGCTGCTAAGAGAACAGGATTAAGATCAGAGATTGGACTAGCAGTTACCAAATTTCCACCAATTGAAGCAGCATTTCTAATTTGATTACCAGCAAACCACTTTAATTGACTAACAATAGCCTTAAATGTACCAACCTTTGTTTTTTGATCATCTGATGCACCATCACTTTTAATTTCGCCTAATAAAAATGATTTTAACTCGGTTAATGTTACACTTGAGCCTACTAAAATACCGTCTTGTTGTTTTTGAATTGAATTTAATTCTGGTACTCTAACTGGTGAAATAATAGTTGGATAAACAACATTTCTAAATTTAGTTTCAATACCAATCTCAGTGTTACCAACTACAATTTTAGCATTACTATGAGTCTTTTTAATTGTTAAAATTTCATTTAAACTAGTTGGTGTGTGCCATGTTACTCTATCACCTTGGAATACTAATGATTCTTTTTTATAATCCATTAAAAATGGTGGAAAAATTGGTTCGCTTTTTAATTCTAATGGTTTACTTGGAATCTTTATAAAAAAAAAAATTAGTATAAAAAATAAAAAAATAAAAAAAAAAAATGAAAAAAATGAAAATACATACATGTGAAGTTTTTTGTTTACAATTGCATGGTTTACCAGATGATGGGCAAATTCCTGGTTCGCTATCAGTTTTAGTGTCGTCATCTTCAATTTTGGCAATGGTTGGAATTTTAACATCTCCGTCTTCATCTTGTTCATCGGTAGTTTTATCGATTGCAAAAGATTTGGCAGCATCAAGAATAGGTCTATAACCAGTACATCTGCATAAATTACCATCAAAGTTATGTTCAATTTCCTTTTGGTTTGCGTTTGGATTTGATCTTAAGTAAGCATATAAAGCCATAATAATACCTGGGGTACAAAAACCACATTGTGAACCATATCCCTCTGCTATTCTTTCTTGAACTGGATGGAGGCCATCACGAACATTACCCAAGCCTTCGATTGTGACTAATGCCATACCGTCTAATTGACACAATGGATATAAACATGAATTAACTGCCCTATGGACAATTCTACCATCGCTGTCGTTTCTGTGTGATATCATGACTGTACATGCGCCGCACCCACCTTCACCACATCCTAACTTACTACCTGTTAATCCGATTGATCTAATATATTGAAGTGTAGTTAATTCTGGATTTGGGTCTTTAATAACTTTTTTTTCTCCGTTTAAAAAAAATGTTAATTCATTATTTTTTTTAATAGTATTTGTTTCGTTTACTATCATTATTTATTGTTATTATTATTTTTACAAAAAGTTATTTTTTTTAAATTTTAATATCATAAAAATATTATGATTCTATTCAATATATCTATTTTTTTTTTTTTTAAAAAATTTGTTTAAATTATGATATTAAATATTAAATAAATAGATAAATGATTTAATTGTGTGTAATAGTTTTAAAATGAAAAAAAATGATATTTAAAAAAAAAAAAATATTATTATAAAAAAAAAAATTTAAAATTAAATTTAAAAAAAAATTCCAAAATTTCAAAAAGATATTTGTCAAAAAAAAAAAAAAAAAAAAAAAAAATTAATTAAAAGTTTTATTATAATAATAAATATGAATATATCTAAACAAAGAAATTGGTTTATTTATTTTAATATTTATTTATATAATTTTATTTATTTATTTTATTTTTTTTATTTTTTTTTATGATCACAATTCAAAAAAATAAATAAATCTTTATAACAATTGTTTTTTACCCCACTGAATTTAATTTAATTTTTTAAAATTGGTAACCCCAACATTCTAAAGATTTTTTAAGCTATGTGCCTTCTTTATGAAATTTTTTAAATAAAAAAATAAAAAAAGATAAATAAAAAAATTAAAAAAATAAAAAAAAAATAAAAAAAAAATAAATTTAATTTATAAAAATTTTTTAAAAACGAAAAAAGCTTTTTTTTTTTTTTTTTTAAATTTTATTTTAAATTTATAATCTCTTTTATTTTATTTTTATTTTTATTTTGTATTAAAGTACCAATGGAAATCGAAAAAGAAAATAAAGAAAATTTAAATATTTTAATCAACGAAAATAATAATAATAATCATAATAATAATAATCATAATAATAATAACAATAATAATAATAATAATAATAATACTAAAACTAATTTAGAAACACTAAAAAATAAAATTATACAAACAAGTACATTAATAGTAAAATTTAAAGAATTACAATCACAAAATCAATTAGTAGTAGAAGAAAATGGAAAATTAAAGCATGCTTTAATAAATGCTATAAGTGCAAACAATACTTTTCAGCAACAACAATCACAACAAATATCACCAAACAATAACGAATACTATACTTTATATTTAAATGAAAAAAAAGAAATATCAAATTTAAAATTTTTATTAGAAAAAGAAATTAATAATAAATTGCCCCTTAGAAATGAAATCGAAAGTTTAAATAAGGAGATTGAAAGCCTAAACGAAATTATCAATGATAGGAATGCAGAAATTTTATCAACCAAATCTTTAATTAATCAATTAAATGCCAAATTAACAGATTATCATATTGGTACCGAGAATTATGAGAAAGTATTAAAACAACTAGACCAAAGCAAGGATTTTAAAAAGAAATATTTTGAAGCTAGAAAGAAGTTAAAAGAGGTGACTGATGCTAAAGAAACCTTAATAAAAAGATGTAAATCAATGATCTGTTCAAAGTGTTCAAAGAAATATAAAAAAAAGAAAAATGGGGTCAAAACATCTTTATCAACCGAAGATGATAATGAAGAAAATGATAATGGAGATGGTGAAGATAATGACAACAATACTGACAATGATTTAAACAACAATACATTTAGCACAACTGATAATGAGGCAAGTGATGCTATTTTCGACCATTTAGAGGATGAACTAGAAAATAGAATGGAGAAAAGTGACCATGAATCAAATCATTTCGATATGGATGGTGATGAGGAAGCTGAGAAAGAATTTTTCAGAAAGCAAAAAGAAATTAAAGAAAAGGAAAAAGAAAAAAAAGAAAAGGAAGAAAGAGAAAAAAAGGAAAAAAGGGATAAGAAAAAATTAGAAAAATTAGAAAAAGGAAAACAAGAAGAAGCCAAGGATGATCCAGCACTCAATCAATTGCTTAATGAAATAAATAGTGGTGATAATAAAAATCAACAGCAAGAGGTTGACCCAGTACTTAACCAAAAAGATAGCAGTTTTAGCTTAGATGATTTCGAAAATGAATTATTAATGGAAATTAAACATGATACAAATAGCAATGACAATAATGACGAACCTATCGAATGGGAAGAGACTTTAAATGAAAATGAACCAATACAACAAGAGCCCATGCTGGTTGAAGTTAAAACCGTAGCAGCCCCATTAATTTTTACAAGCTTCACAAAATCACCAATTGTCATAGCAACTGATAATAATGTAAATAATAAAATTTTAGATAATAACTGTAACAATATTAATAATAATGATAATAATAATAGTAATGATAATAATGATAACAATGATAATAATAATGATAATAATAATAATAATAATGTAAATGATAATTCAGCTAGCCTCAATGAGGATGATATTCCAGAATTTTCAAACAATAGTATTATTGGTAATAGTTTCGAAAATGATTTTGATGATTTGGTGACAGTAAATAAGAAAATGTACAAAAATGAAGAAAAAGAAAGAGAAGAGGTGCAGTTAAGATTAAAACAAATAGAAAAAGATAATTTGGAATTGGAAAAAAAACAAAAGGAACAGAGGGATAAGGAGCTATTAGAAATTATTGCAAAACAAGAAAAAGAAAGGAAAGAAAGAGAAGAGTTGCAGCAATTAAGATTAAAACAAATAGAAAAAGAAAAGGAAGAGGAGAAATTAAGATTAAAACAAGAAAAAGAAGAAAGAGAGAAGTTAGAAATGATTAGATCCAAAAAGAGAAAGAAAGAGAACAAAAGGAAAAAGAAGAAAAAGAAAAAAGATTACAACAACAAAAAGAAAAAGAAAGACTAGAAATATTAGAAAAGGGAACAATTTAGAAAGATGGAAAAGGAAAGGTTAGAAAAAGAAAGGTAGAAAAAGAAGATTATTATAGAGAATTTAGAAAAAGAAGATCGATATAGAATGATTCTGGAAAGAAAGAATCGGAGAAAAAAAATTCGAGAAAGACCTTTGACCGGACCTTTTTGAAA